TTCCCTTTTTCTTTCTTTTTTTTTTTTTTTTTTTTTTAGGGTTTTTGCCGTATGGTGCACTTGCCCACTGGAGAGAGAGGGAAAGGGAAAGTGAGAAATCGCTCCCAGGGAGATGGCCATGCTGCAGTCCCTTCTCCTTCATTCTTCTCTCAGGATTTTGGGCATGTGTGCACACACACAACTGCCCTGCATGATTTTCAAGCCCCTGGGTCTAGGGCTTGAACTGCAGTGGACCTTGTGGGAGTCCAGTGCCTTCACCAGCACGCCACCTGCTGGCCCCTCTTCAGCCTTTTCCTGATTGTGAGTTCGGTAATAATGAGATCTAAGTCAGACTTACATGCCAGACCAGGAACCAGAAGTCTCTCCTCTAAGAGCCGAACTTTATGTGGTTATCGTAATAGATTTATCATAGTCTGACCTGCTGTCGGTTCCAAAACCATTTCTGGAAACTGCTTAGTTCAAAACTGTGTCTGTGGTAGGGCCACCGCCTCGGATCTATCCCTTCCATTTATATCCTTCACTTGGGAAGGAGAATGGCATCAAGTTCTCACCGAACCTGGGAGTGTACCAGCTTGGGCGTTACGCAGAGGTGCCAGGGCCTGCATCCTCCCGGTCTGTCTTCACCTTGGGCCAGCCGACCCTTGCTGGTAGAGTTTAATGATAAAGTGTTTTGCGTTAGGAAGGATATACCTGATGAAGGTGACTGCATCATCCTTGTCACTAACCATGGTACTTTGGGAGAAACTGTTTCAGCTGCTCTACAAGTTTTTGTTTTGTTTTTAAATTGCAAGAGGGCCTGTGGGCTTGCCGGGGAGAGAGAGAGAGCGAAAGCGAAGGAGAGCACACTCCCAGCGGGGTAGGGCCCTGTGGCAGTCCCTCCTCCACTTCTCCCCGCGGGGATGACGTGTACATGTGCATGCACACCTGGCGTTGTCAAGTCTCCAGAGCCAGCGTTCGAACCAGAGTTGGCCAAGTGGGATCCAGCTCCCTTAACCCCTAAGCTCCAGGGTCAGCCCCACTCTACAGGTTTTTCCAACACTGGAATGATCCAAGTCCTGTTTACACCTTATATAGTTGTGGAGCTTATTTTTTCACTCCCTAAACTCATTAGGTTCCAATTTCTCTTAGTTTATAAAGTCTTTTCCTCCTACCTACACAGAAAAACAATAAAAATAATATGCTTTCTTTTTCATATGCATCAGAGAAAGAGCCAAAATTTTGTTAAGAGGAATACATTTTGGTACTTGATTACTAATCAAATTAAAGAAACTGGAAGTCACCCAGTGTCCTAAAGCCAACTGTCTTAGATCTGCTGTCCCATCAGTGTGACGCGGCCAGATCTTTGCTGTGAGATGGACGGTGTGCTGGCCTCTCTGGGCTGTGCCTCATGGAACCGTGGGGGTTGTGGCTGTCATCCAGCAGGACCCTGACAGCTCCACGCGGTGTGAGAGGCTGTCGTGGAGACCAGAGGGGCCAAAGGGTGTCACTCAAGTCCTTCCTGCCAGAGGACTTCTGTAGAAGCCAGTTGCTTGTCAAATTTGTAGACATCATCACTTTAATTATTTTACAGTCTCGTACTGTATTTGCTGTCTGTAGAAATCACATCTGACATGTTTTCCAGGCAGCTTGGCAGAGTCAGCTTGCGTTTTGCTCAGTTGGCACAGGGTTATATTGTGATATTTTTAACGTGGAATGTGTGGAAAGCTTGCCTTGTGAAGCAACTCGATGTGAGTAAAAACTATAGGGAAGATAGCTTTCTTTGCTCTTCTGCACTGTGAGAGGGAGATTTGAGCTCTCACTGCAGAAGATGCCAAGTGGCCATCAGTGTGGCCACACACACACACACACACACACACACACACACACACACACACACACACACACACACACACACACACACACACACACACACACACACACACACACACACACACACACACACACACACACACACACACACACACACACACACACACACACACACACACACACACACACACACACACACACACACACACACACACACACACACACACACACACACACACGGGCTGGATAAACAGGAAGGAGCAGAGGGTTCACGCAGCTGGAGGCAGGAGCTGAGAGCCCCTGACTTGTCAAAACAAGGCCCCGAGGCAGACTGTGAAACCTCTTCCTTAAAGATACAGCAGACTAGTCTAGACTGGCCTATTGTATGGAGTTTTTAAAGTGAAGGGGAGGAACTAGACCAGCCTTTCTCCATCCGAGCACCTCTATTCGTCAAATATTAGGAAGTCAGAATTTGAATTTTAGAATCATTTTAAGTTTTACAAAACTGATACATAGTTTTATGCTTCCTCAGAAATAGTGCGATGTACAAGGTTGTCATTTTAAACGATTTTCACAGTCTTGAGAGTGGTTCTATTCTCCAGCATTTTGGAGTACATGACGATGAGTGTGTGTGTGTGTGTCTGTCTGTCTCACCAAGTGCATGTATGCTTTCTTATAGAACTGATGAAAGAAAGCATGTTTGTACCTTGTGAAATTCTCCCTAGCACATTTATTTAAATGTTTGTATCCTTAGAGCTAATGCTTTTATTAAAATAGAGACTCCCGAAAGAGTGAAGTTTAGGTCTGAAATACATCATTTTGACAGTGATTAAGGCTCACAGTGAGTGTATCGTAAAGCAAGTAGTTAATAGCCTAGCGTGAACAGCCTTGGGAAGTGGATATAACAAATTGTATTTTGTGCAACTGAGAAGCAGCAGTCAGAACTGGATGTATAATTCATTAATGCCACAGCTTATTTATTAAAGTTTTGATTACGTTGATATTGCCTGATCATTTCCCATAAGACACATTATTTCCCTCACAAACGAATGCATCAGCATCTATTCATTTGGACGATTTGCTTGGTTTGATGCATATTCACATCTTCAGTCTTCTAAATAGTTTTGTCAGTAAATGTTCTGGAAAGAATTAGGTGCTGTGATTCATCGGCTGATGCTTCCGTCTAACCTTAATTTGCTTCATAGTTTTGCATCTAGAAGCATTATTAACAGAAGTCTGTAGAGATAAAATCTAACGGTACCTACAGCTTGGCATAAACGCCTGGGAAGTCCACTGGCTCATCTGAACACGGAGAAACATTGGCTAACAGTTCTCCTTTGAGAAGGACATAGAAAAAGCCAAACTGCTTCAATTTCTACAGTATGTATGGGGATTTTTCTCTACACCAAGCAGCTGTCCAGTTGGTACTGACTGGGTGTACTCCAGTTTACTCATTTCTAATAGTTCCTACCCGGAGTTAGTAAGAGCCACAGTTTAAAGGCTTCGTTCCACAAGCCTGACCCTCATTTCAGATGCCAGGTTATGACCTGTGTTCAGTCCGATTGGCTTTAAATTAGGGTTCCCTCGGGGGGAACCTTCCTTGGGTTCAGTTAATTTGCTAGAGCAACTCACAGAACTTAGAGAAGTTACTTAGTTATACTGGTTTATCATAAAGGGTTAAAGGACAGAGATGAGCAGCCAGGTGGAAGAGATGCACAGGGGACGGCATGTGGGAGAGGGCACAGGGCTTCTGTGTCAGTGTATCATCTTGGGGTGCACCACCCTCCAGGCACCTCCCTGTGTTCAGCAGTCCAGAAGCTCTGCAGACGCTGTCTTCTTGGGGTTTATGGCAACTTTATTATAAAACCAGGATTGATAGCATTGTTGGCCATTGGTGAGCAACACAGTCTTCAGAGGTGGGGGTGGTGGGACTGAACGTAGCAACTCAGATCACATGGTGGTTTTCCTTGAAAACTAGGCCTCCATCCTGAGGCTATCCAGGAGCCCCCAGTCAGCAGTCACTTCATTAACATACAGGAAGACACTTATCCTCAGGGCGATTCCAAGGGTTTTCAGAGGAGCCAGGGTCACAGGCCACACACACACAGGCGTAAGCACACACACACAGGCGTAAGCACACACACGTGTACCTTGTCACATCACAACATGACAACTTTCCATAGACAACTCCCACTTCTCTCGATTGATGTGCTCATTTCTAATTTCTTCTGATTTCTCCATGTAGATCTTTCTGGCAGGGTTTATTCCTAGCTGTTTCCGACTTTATAGCTTACGTCCCTGAAATTCTCAGTCCTCTGTTTTCATTTTCTGTTTCCCTCTGAAAACAGGTAGTTCAGCTCAGATCAACCTAAGTCCGTGGAGCACGCTCCATCCGCCCCAGGACTGTGCTAACGCTAGTACAATGGCTGTAACAAGATGGCCGCTCTCGGGTTGACAGTGTAGTTGTGTCACAAGCAAGGAAATAAGGCCTGGACACATTCGTGCCCTTTACAGTGTCAGACTCTGACCCCATAGCAAAGCCGTCAGGTCCAGGCTGGAGAACAACTCACGCTAGCCAGTGCCCCTCAGCAGTCACTGTGGAGGTGAAGAGCTAGTGACAGGTCCCCAGATATCCCAGCAATCTGCCAGAGACCCATCGACAGCCATTGCTGGAGGCCTCACAGAGGGTCTGGCAGGCACCAGTCCGGGACAGAGGCAGCCAGTCTCGGGGAGCGGGCCGCACCGCTGTCCGCGAGTCTCCCCGAGAGTGGCCAGGAGTGTGCTCGTCACAGGGCTGGGAGGGAATGGCGAAGCGGCTCTAGTGAGGGCTCTTCTTAGGCCCCAGAGTGCACAGGAGCTCTTCCAGGGCACGTGTGCCTAAGATAGCCCTAACCACCACACCACCTGCTGGCCCCTGGATCCGGTTGTTCAGACTTTGTCCTGCTTCTTTTAGAGAAAAGAGCCTTTGGGTGTGCTTTAGAAGAGCCTCATTCCACAGACCGAGAACGGTTGCTTTAGAGTGCCTGTGATTTCGTGTATAAGCAGGTCGCCTGCATCGCTTAATACTGAGCTGTCTCAGTGCACATCTGTACCCGACCAGAGCTAACTTAATATACTTTTTACTTGTAGTCTTTAATTATGAATGTGATTGCTTAATCTACAGTTCGTGCTCTTACCTTTTATGCTTTCAGGGAAGGGATTCACGCAAATCAAGAACTGCAGATCTCCCCCTGCATTACCGAGCAGTTCATTGAGCTGCTGTGTCAGTTTAACCCCAACCATGTCATAGAGACGCTGCAAGTCCTCGAGTGCTACCGCCTGGAGGAAACGATTCAGGTGAGACCCACAGTGTAGGAAAGATGGGCGCAGACTCGCCCTGCACGTGTCCCGTTTGGCGGACGAGCAAAGGGAGTCCCATGTGAGGTCACTGTGCTGAGTGTACAGCTGCCAAGTGCTGCTGCCTGAGAGGAGTGCAGGCTGACTGACTCCGAGGCGTGTGGTAATCACTGCGACTTACCGCTTCCCGGTTTATCCTCCAAAGCCAGAAACGACACATGCCTGCCACTGTTTTTATACCATGCTTTATGGAACTCTAGCCAACACAATAAGCCCCAAAAAAAGCAGCACAGTGAAAATGCTGAAAGAAAAGACCCAATTCTTGTCTGCAAACACTGATGACTAGATATTCCTTTTGTGCCATAATACGTAGCAGGCTTAAATTGCAGTCCCGCAGCCGTGGCACTCGGCGCCTGAGTCTCTTCCCGGTCTTCTCGTGCTTCCAGACGGAAATGTGTGTGTGTACACATGCGTGTATTAAAGTCTGTAAGAGGCTCTTGCGTTCACCTATTAAAATTTATTTTAATCATTATTCTTCTTTTCCTTTGTTATTAACACTGTTGAAACAATAATCTGAATTTTCTCTATCCACTTCCTGAATGGTCCACATACTTTTAGAAATGCTTAATTATGAAGTATTTCAAATGTGTAGGAAAGTGCAGAGTATCAAATACATATATACCCACTAGCCCAATCGTGTAGTAGTTAACATTTTACCATTTGGGCTCTTTATTTTCCTTGTCTTTTTTTGTTTGTTTGTTTTTTGTTTGTTTGTTTGTTTGTTTGTTTGGAGAGGTTTTTGCTCTAGGGCGCCTGCACTCGCCAGACAGACACAGAGAGACAGAAAGCGAGAAATCACCCCCCAGGGGGGATGGTCACTCCACAATCCCTTCTCCTCCATTCTCCTCCCGGGATCTTGGGCACGCACGCACATGCGCCCGGCGTGAGTTTTAAGCCACCGGGTCCGGGATGCAAACTGCGGTTGACTACGCAGGAGTCCAGCGACATAGCCTGTTTTTATACCATGCTTTATGGAACTCTAGCCAACACAATAAGCCCCAAAAAAAGCAGCACAGTGAAAATGCTGAAAGAAAAGACCCAATTCTTGTCTGCAAACACTGATGACTAGATATTCCTTTTGTGCCATAATACGTAGCAGGCTTAAATTGCAGTCCCGCAGCCGTGGCACTCGGCGCCTGAGTCTCTTCCCGGTCTTCTCGTGCTTCCAGACGGAAATGTGTGTGTGTACACATGCGTGTATTAAAGTCTGTAAGAGGCTCTTGCGTTCACCTATTAAAATTTATTTTAATCATTATTCTTCTTTTCCTTTGTTATTAACACTGTTGAAACAATAATCTGAATTTTCTCTATCCACTTCCTGAATGGTCCACATACTTTTAGAAATGCTTAATTATGAAGTATTTCAAATGTGTAGGAAAGTGCAGAGTATCAAATACATATATACCCACTAGCCCAATCGTGTAGTAGTTAACATTTTACCATTTGGGCTCTTTATTTTCCTTGTCTTTTTTTGTTTGTTTGTTTTTTGTTTGTTTGTTTGTTTGTTTGTTTGGAGAGGTTTTTGCTCTAGGGCGCCTGCACTCGCCAGACAGACACAGAGAGACAGAAAGCGAGAAATCACCCCCCAGGGGGGATGGTCACTCCACAATCCCTTCTCCTCCATTCTCCTCCCGGGATCTTGGGCACGCACGCACATGCGCCCGGCGTGAGTTTTAAGCCACCGGGTCCGGGATGCAAACTGCGGTTGACTACGCAGGAGTCCAGCGACATAGCCATTACGCTAACTGCTGGTCCCGTCTTACTTGTTTTTTAAAACACTGTTTATCTGTCCTATTTCTCTCTCTGTCCTGAGATTACCACCAGCCCAATGTGGGTATTTATTCTTCTAATCCATGTTTTCAGCTTTTCCTAGATGTGTCTATATCTATAAACTATATGATACAATATTACGTGTTTTTAAAATCTGTTTTTATCCATGGAGATCTACTCGTTCATCCTTCTGGGAATACAGTGTTCTAACAGTGATGCCATTTGATTATGTCCCCGGTCATCGATAATTACGAATCCAGTCTTTGCTGGTAGAAACAGTGCTACAGTACCTTCAGCATGCTCCCCTGCAGCCCGTGGGAGGTTTCCCTAGCTGGTCTAACCGGAAGTAGAATTCTTCATGTTGGCCAGTGTGGTGAATTTCAGTCATCACTCATGACTTCGACATCTCCCATATGTTCAGGCTCCTTTCCCTCTCTCCGAGTCACCTATTTCTATCATCTGTCCTTTGTTGAGTTTCTACCCTTTTCTTACTTGTCGAAGTTCCTTCTATTTTCTGGATCTCTAATCCATTATCGACTTTATTTGTTGGAGATACCTTCTTCTACTCTATTGTGGGATGCCTTTGAACTGTTTCCAGTGCCTCTATTTTAATGTGTGATCTTTTCCTTTAAGGTGGAAGTTGGCAGGTGAGCCTGTCTTATTTCCTTTCCTATTTTGATTGCATAAAGGATATTCTGTTATGTAAGCTTTATAGTTTAGCTTCCTAAATTTAGGCTCTTAATCCATCTGGAATTTATTTTTTGTAGGCTGATCAAGAAAAGGATTTATGTCCTTTTCCCCCCACATGATGGCTAATAGCCCATGTGGCATTTTGTTACCCTTTCCTCACTGAAATTATGCATCATTGCCATGCAACAAACTCCCAAATATGTATAGGTCTTCGTGTGGGTTCTGTTATTTGGCGACTTGTCTATTCCTACACCCATCCCACCCACATTAGTTCATATGGCTTTACAATAAGGCTCATTCTTTTTTCTTTAAAATCCTTCAGCTACTTTTGACTTCTTACTATTTCTATATCAATTAAGGGATCACATTCCTAGGGTTTTTGAAACCAACCAACAAACACAACCCTCTGGAGTTTTTATTTTAAAATATGCTGAATTTGAGTAGCTCTGTAGCACAGTGGTTAAGAACTATGCATTGGTAGCCAGATCCCACAGGGCCAACCATGGTTCAGGTCCCAGCCCTGGCAGCTTGAAAACCATTTCAGCCTGTGTGCAGGTACTCCTGCATCCCGATGAGAAAGAGAGACAGAGGGCAGATGCCGACCGCACGAGCGTGCCCGCTAGGGTGCATCTCACGTGCACGCTCTGCCTGGTGAGCACATACACAATCTGGCGTTTTTAAAATATGCTGAATTTCTAGGTTTATTTAGGAAGTATTCTTCACATTCAGAAATACGTTTGCCTTTCCAAAATGCCTTTTATGCGCTTCGGTAGGGTTTGAAACTGTATGTAAAGGTTCTTGTTTTTATAGTGTATATATATATATATATATTTTTTTTTTAAAGGAATTATTTATTTAATTTCATTTCTTATTCTTCTTCAATTTGACCAGAAAGAGACACAGAGAAAGGAAGCTGCCGGGTCTGGGACTCGAACTGTGGGTCACTATGTGGGAGTCCAGCACCTCAATTAACATGTGGCCTGTTGACCCTCCTTACATATATTTTTAAAAACTATTCATACTTTATATTCTTGTAAACATGCAAGGAAGTGTTACATTTTAAAGAATTGTTCATTTAATTTTATCATCATTATTATTTTTTAATTTGGTATAGAGCACATGCACTCACCAGAGCGAGAAAGTGAGAAAGCCAGTCACTAGGTCTGAGACTCGAACCACAGTCGGCCATGTGGGAGTGCAGCACTTCAGCTACCATGCCACCTGCTGACCCTGTATGCAAGGAAGTTTTTTGAAATGACTTTTTTTTTTTAAGAGAGAGATTTTTGTTATAGGGCACATACACTCACCAGAGAGACACAAAGTGAAAAATCACCCTCCAGGGGAGCTGGCCATTCTTCAATCCCTTCTCCTCCATTCTTCTCTCGGGATTTCGAGCGTGCACGGACATGCTCCCGACATGAGTTTTAAGCCCCCTGTGTCTAGGACTTGAACTGCAGTCAACTACATGGGACTCCAACGACATAACCGTTACGCCATCTGCCAAGTCCATGAAATGAAAAATTTATATTGCTGTCTGGTGCTATATTAGACTCTTCTAATTTTTGTACATTGTCCTGCACTAGCAAACACGGTGGATTTTTTTTTTCTAGTTCATATATTTTCTAGATTTTTTTCTTCATGACAGGTATTTTCTGAGCCAGCCTCTGCCGTACAGCCAGTCGTATACCTACTGCAGAGCTGGAAACCACGTGCTGACTGGCAGAAAGGGTGCGTGTGTGTGTGTGTGTGTGTGTGTGTGTGTGTGTGGTGTTGGGTTGTCAGAAGTCATGCCATATTTTTCTATGCATATATATATATATATATGTGTGTGTGTGTGTGTGTGTGTGTGTGTGCGCACACACACACACATAGACTACATATCTATATGTGTACAGATGCATGCATACAATATATATGTATATGTACACCAAGAGAAATCCTGTATATATCATGTGGATATGTGTGTGTATATCTCCCAGAGGGTGCGCATGCACACCAGAGAGAAAGAGCACTCCTGAATAGGGTGTGGCCTGTTACAATCCTTTTTCCTCCATTTTTCCATCCTATCAGGATTTTGGACATACATGCGCATAGTTTTTTAAGCCACAGGGACCAGGACTTGAACCATGGTCAGGCATGTAGAATCAAACTTTCTTTTTTATTTTAAGAATTATTTAACTTTTATTTATTTGTTTATTTTAATTGACCAGAGAGGGACAGAGAGAAAGTGAGAAACCAAGCTGCCAGGTCTGAGACTCAAACTACAGTCAGCCATGTGGGAGTCCGGTGCCCTTAACCACCATGCCACCTCCCAGCCCCAGGGATCCAACTTTCTATACACAATACTTAACTACTGTACTATATGGCCAACCTTCAGTAATAACAGTAGTAATAATAACAATATTTTCTAGTTTTCTATGCTGCAATCACTTTTGCTTCATTCTCTTGTTGGTATCTTGGGCACACATGCATATGGGCCTGGCATAATTTTCAAACCACCAGGTCCAGGATTCAAACCATGGTCAACCAAATTTATTTTCAATAATTTTTTATTTACACGTAATCATATACATCTTTATGGAGTGCAATATAGATTTGCAAAGAATAGATGCAGTGCAAAAATAGATGATAATCAAATCAAGAATATTACCATATTGGGACCAGCAGATGGCATAATCATTACATTGCTGGACTCCTACACGGCTGACCGTAGTTTGAGTTCTGGACCCATGACTTGAAACTCACGCTGGGCATGTGTGTGTGCACGTCCAAGATCCCAGGAGGAAAATGGAGAAGGGATTCCGGTGTGACCATCCAGAGAGGATTTCTCGCTTTCTGACTGTCTCTGCGGCCAGTGCACATGCCCCATAGCAAAAATATCTCTCTCTAAAAAAAAAAAAAAATTGCCATATTTATTGTTTTTGACAAATAATACCACATTATATACACCATTAATTTTTGTCCTACTAGTTTTTGGGTTTTTTAAAAATAAATATATAAATTGGTAGCATCTATTTACTCACTCTGTGGTATGTCGTTCTATAAGCCTTTTTAAAGAGGTTTTTGCCTTAGGGTGTGAGCACTCACCAGAGAGAGAGACAGAGACAATAGAGGGAAAGTGAGAAATCACCTGCCAGGGGCTGGCCATGATGCAATCCCTTCTCCTCCCAGGACCTGGGGCACTCACACACATGTGCCCAGCGTGTTTCAAGTCACAGGTCCGGAACTGGAACCACGGTCAACCATGTCGGAGTCCGGCGACGTGACCGCTACACCATCTGCTGGGCCCTCTACAACCCGTTTACCCTCTCTACACACATTCCTGTGTCTGAAATGTTCTCACCCTGAGCCCCACTCGGCCCCGCCCGTGCAGTTTCTAGTCTGCAGTTCTCCTACTTCTGTGTCTTAAGGTCTTTCCATCCTGCCAGAGTGGAGTTGGTACATTCTGAGTGAGAACATACAGGGTTTCTCTTTCATAGTCTGCTTTACTGTACTTCGAATGGAATCTTCTAGGTTTGTCCACGTTGTATCCAGTGATAGAATCCTCCTTTTTTTTTTTTTTCAAGATTTTTGCTATAGGGTGCATGTGCTTGCTGGAGAGACAGAGAGACAGAGACAGAAAGTGACAAATCACCCTCCTGGGAGATGGCCGTGCCTCAGTCCCTTCTCCTCCATTCTCCTCTTAGGATTTTGGGCCCGCACACTCACACACCCGGCGTGAGTTTTAAGCCCCCAGGCCCGGTACTCAAACAGTGGTCGACTACGTGGGAGTCCAGCATGTAACCATTGTGCCAGCTGCTGGTCCCGCATCGTGCTGCTGTCATTGCTGAGTAGTTGGCCTCTACAGAGGTGCTTTTCTCCTTTGTTTTGTTAACCTGTTGATTTATTATTCGTGCCTCTGTTTTTTCTTTAAAGAAAGTATTTCTCAGGACTGGCAGGTGGCATGGTGGTTGAGGCTGCTGGACTCCCACATGGTTGACCATGGTTCAAGTCCTAGACCTGGCAGCTTGCTTTCTTACTTTCCCTCTCTCTCTCTTCCTCACTCTGTCCCTCTCTGGTCAAAATTAAAAATAAAGTTAAGTAAAATAATTTTTTTAAATGTTAAAAAAAAAAAAAAGAAAAAGTATTTCTCTATTTTGAAAGTGGCTACTTTGGGGCCAACAGAAGGCATAATGGTTATATCACTGGACTCCCACATAGACGGCTGCTGTTTGAGTGCCAGACCTGGTGGCTTAAACTCACACCAGGCCCACGTGTGTGCATGTGCATGCCCAAAATCCTCAGAGGAGAATGGAGAAGAAGGGATTGCAGCGTCACCAACCACTCCCACCTCCCCTGTGGGACAATTCTCGCTTCCTGTTGCTCTGTCTCTCTCTGTCTCTGGTGAGCACATGTGCCCTATAGCAAAAATTTCTCTCTAAATAAAAAAAAAAAAAAAAAAGGAAAGAAAGAAAGAGGTTACATTGGAATTTTTTAAACCTTTTGGGGACCAGCAAGTAGTGTAGTGGTTGAGACGCTGGACACTCTCACATAGCTGACCACAGTTGAGTCCCAGACCTGGTGGCTTTCTTTCTCTCTCTCTCTCTCTCTGGTCAAATTGAAATAAATGAATGAATAAATAAAATTAAATAAAAAATAATTCTTATAATAAAGAAACATTTTACTGTTTATTATTTGTTTTCTGCCATTTCTTCACTTTGTTTTGCATAGTCTTAGTTTAATTGGTATTCCTTTTTTGCTGATTAGAAATTCCTAGTCTAGGGACCAGCAGTTAGCGTAATGACTATGTCACTGGATTCCCACGCAGTCAATCACGGTTCGAGTCCCTGACCCAGTGGCTTAAACTTACGCTGGGCGTGTGTGTGTGCATGCCCAAGATCCCAAGAGGAGAATAGAGGAGAAGGGATTGTGGCGTGGCCATCCCCCCTGGGGGGTGATTTCTCGCTTTCTGTCTCTCTGTCTCTCTCTGTCTGGCGAGCGCATGCGCTGTATAGCAAAAACCTCTCCCAAAAAAAAGAAAAAAAAATTCCTAGTCTATTAGCTTACAAAGATCACACTAGTTGCTATGTAGTATTTTTGTTGTCATTTTGTTATAAATGTTTTGTTTATAATTACATGTATTCAATTTCTAGCTTACAGCATTACTATTGATATATTTATGTTTCCTTTCTCCAGTTGAGATCCCTCATTCAAGTATGGAACAACTTTTTAAATAAATAAGTAAAAGAAATAAAAATAAAAGTGAATGCATTTGATTCAGTTAGAACTGCCAAAGAGGACTACACTGTCAAATGTTTGTATATTATACTGTAAAGTAGCCTAGTACTAAGATATAAATTCATTACTTACTATCATTTTTTTTTCTCCCTCTATGGGATCCTTCCACTTCACAAACAAGGTTTATAAATACAAATGTTTCTTTCTAGATTACTCAGAAGTATCAGCTTCACGAAGTCACTGCGCATCTGTTAGAAAAGAAGGGGGATATTCACGGTGCCTTCTTAATAATGCTAGAGGTAACATACTGCGTCTGTGTCATAGCTCTGTCTCCTGTCTATCGTCAGTTCCTCTTAATCTTTATATTTCAAAGTAACTTACAAACAGCAGTATATTTTATTTCTGAATATTTTTATTACTGATATCTTTGACAAGAGTTTAGTATTTTTTGTGCTACTTTTTTTAAGGTAAAATTTACATATAACAAAAAATACAAGTTATAAGTATACCATTTGATGAGATTTTAATTTTACCGTTATTCACGACGGAGAGCGTGGGCATGAGCATGCCGGGAAGACGGACAGAAAGTAATAGCACAGAACCCCCCAGAGGGTCTTGGCACCATGTGATCTGCCACCCCAGCCCTGTCGCTTGTTAGAACTATGGGCTCATGCATGTACACCCCACTTGTTTTCACACCTTCCCAGGGACCCCAACCCGTGCCCAGCCATATGGTTTCCAGCCCCGCAATTTAGTGCCACTGTGGCTGGGCCATAGGCTGAGTTTTTGACGGTGCAGGTCCCTGTGTAAGTCAAGTCCCTAACAAGGTAGAGATGGCTACCTTCCCCTGGCAGTTTTCCTCATGCACTTTCCCACTCCCATCCCTCTACTCCCCAGGGAAAAGCACTCTTCTGATTATTTGCACCATCCAGTAGGCACTCTTGTGCAATCTTTTACTTAGCGTAATGCTTTTGAGATTTATCCCTGCTATTCCTTACAGCAGTAGTCCGTTCCTTGGATCGCTAAGTAGTAGTGACGGACAGGCTGGACCAGGGCCTGTTCATCCGTCCTCCTATTGCAGCAGCCCCACTTGGGCTGTCTCTCATTTTTGGCTCTTTTGAATAAAGCTGCTATGACCACTCCTTTTTTCTTTTTTTTTTTTTTTTAATGTTTGTTTCTTCCAAAAGAGAGGGGGCGTGGCAGAGAGGGAGAGGGACAGACAGGCACCCCCATTCTCAGCCGGCCTAGGTCATGGCCCCACACAGGAGCCTGGGACTTGCCCACGTGTGCAGTTGTGCTCCCACTGCACCAGCACCTGGCCCCACGCATGGCCACGCCTCCTCAAGTCTTTCTGTGCCCGAATGGCTGGGCCCTAAGACAGCTTTATAAGAAGTCATTAGACCTCTTTCCAAAGTGGTGTAGTACTGTACCTACCTGCCAGTAACACATGAGGCTTAGCTGCTCCACATTTCATAAAGGTATTTGGTGTTCTATCCGTTAAAAAAAGGTTTTTAGCCATTAAAAAAAAAAAAAAGGTTTGTAGCTATTAAAAGATGCTAACATGATGTATTTATAGCATAAACTTTACCATTTGAACACTTGAAACATACAGTTCTGTCTCTAAGTCACACTGGTGTGCCGGCTTCTCCACAGTCCAAACGCACAGCTTTTCCAGCATTCCTCTCTGAAAGCCGCCCTGAGCAAGTGCCCCCCAATCCTGCCCCCTCTCCACCCTCTCCGGTTCCTGGCAACCACCACGCCCTGAGCAAGTGTCCCCATTCCTTCCCCCTCTCCGCCCTCTCCAGTTCCTGGCAACCACCATTCTGTGAATCTGGCTAGTCCAGGTACCTCATTACATGGAGTCATACAGCCTCTGTCCCTCTCCGTGTGGCTTATTTCACTACCATAATGTCTGTAAGGTTTATCCATGTCGTAGTTCACATCAGCATTTTCCCCGTCCTAAGACAGAATAACCGTCTGTTGTATGTCTACACAATATCGTGCTCACCCGTTTATTCTGTGATGGAACCTTGGGTCGCTTCTGCCTTTTGACTGTTGTGAATAACGCTGCTATGAATAGGGTTTACAAATATTTTTTGAGTTTCTGCTTTCATTTATTTGGGATTTATGTTCAGATATGGGATTGTTGGATCAAATAGTAATTGTTTATTTCTTTTTATTTTTCAAAGATAGCGTTTTACTGTGTCATGGTCTTCCTGTCCCAGCTTTCCCGGTAGTTGGGGCTGCACGTGTACGTCACCGTGCCAGCTGTGAGGGTGGGCCGAGAGTTGGACCTGAGCCTCACACACGGCCTCAGCTGCTGAGCAGTGGCGTCAGCCCGCGTGCATGTCCTGCCACGGCTGGGCCAGCACTTTCACTTTTAATTTTGAAGGAACTTCCTACTCTTTTCCATAGCAACGGTGTCATTTTACATCCCCACCAGCAGTGCAAGAGACTTCCAGTTTGTCCACGTCCTTGTCAGCGCTTGCTTTTTCAGTGATAGTAGCCATTCTGATGGGTGTGAAGTGGTATATCATTTAAAAAAATTGTCATCCAGCTAGGAATAAATTAAAGATGTCCCGTTTATATTAAAAGTACTCCATACTGGCTAGAGTAGTTTCTTCCTAGCAATGTGCCTCTAAAACACCCGGGAGAATACCCCACAGAGGCTTTGTGTAGGATCTTATTATCTTGCCATCTGTAAATTACCCCTGCACTTCTGTTTTTTCTGTACTTATTTGTCAAAGACACTATGAACCTAGTTTTAAAGAAGAAGTAAGGGCCCACTGGCAATGTGGCTCAGGCTCCCACGGGGCTGGAAGTAAGGGGAGAGGCAGGGAAGGGAGAGGTAGACCCAGACAGACTGTTGGAGTCCCTCGCAGTAGTGTGATGTGCTGGGAGCCGTGAGTACTCAGTGGATGTAGAAGTGGTGACAGAGAGAAGAGGACGTAGATTTGAGAGCAATGTGACTCTAAAACAGATCAGGAAGCATTTGGACATGGTAGAAGGTAGCCGAAGGAGTAGTTCATGATGATTTTAGCTAACAAGCTTATTTTTTGTTAACTGGTAAGCTAGAAATCTATTGTTTAATATGCCGTGATTTGGGGCCTATAAAGGACCCCAAGAAAAGGAACAAATTTGGGGTAGGGCCGATGCATTAGAAAGGCCAGCTTTAATGTGTACTGGAAGGCCTTGGGAACATGAGTTAAAGGTCTGTCGGGCCTATTAGGTTGTCCAGAGGTCATGCCATATTTTTCTATGCAAAAATGCATCATGACTTTCCTGACAACCGAATAGATTCCAGTAGAGCAGCAAACGTTACACCTGCGCATCTGGGCGTTGTCACATCCAAGACTGCCGTGTGCTGTGGGCATAGACTGGCGTGTTTATCACTTCCTTACTGAAAGCACAGTTATGTCGGAATCCTCACTGCTGTGCCTCCAACTGTGATGGATAACGGAAGCGGAAGTGGGGCGGAGTACATGATCCAGGCCTTATGAGTCGCTTCCCACGCTGCTGTCTTCACGTGGATATCGCTCCTGAGCGACACTCAAGAACCATTCCTAATGACCTTGCTGTCTTACCTTTAAAGTATGTTCATTTACATATTTGACAGGTAGAAGTCTAAGTGTTCCTTTTACCTTGTGCATTCTTCTTACCTCCTAGAGACTACAAAGCAAACTTCAAGAGATAACACATCAAGGCGAAAGTAAGTTCTGTGTATGATTTATGGACTTTTTCAAACCTCCACAGACCCCATTATTTTAAAAGATGTCGTTTAGTAAATTACACTTATTAAGTGATAATTATACTGGTCCATCTGTATAATTACTGTTTGTCCACTTTAACAAGGATCTCAATTGGAGCTGATTTTCAGGGGCTCGTAGTAGGAAATCTGCACCATCGTGGCTTTGTAACACTTGGAGGAGTTTAAGAAACAGAAAGTTAGGCACTGTTCACTGCTTTTGATTTTTTGGGGGGGTATATTTCTGTACTTATATTTTGGTTATGTATAAATGAGGTACATCACTAACATCCTAAAAATTACTATAATGAGCTGAACAGCAAATCAGGGCTTTTAATCAGTAATAGCTAGTGTTCCTGTACTTGACGTATATGACGTTAGCCCAAAGAAGTACAACTTGACTGTTTAGACTTTTCAATGCCTTTTTTACAGATAGATAAAATTTCCCTCATATTACCTTTTTTCTTTGTTTATGATACAACACATGTACATGTGTGAAACAGAGAGAGAGAAGACCCCTTCCAGGGTCTGATCACACCACGGTCCCCTTCCTGCAGCTCTCCTTCCTGTCCGATCTTGGGTATTTACACACATGCCCAGTATATTTCAGGCCATTGAAGCTGGGAATGTACACTGTGGTTACCACATGGCTTCTAGCACTGCCGTTCGGCATGCCACCTACCACCTGTGCCCCCACAACTGAGACAAATTCCTTGACATTTAAAAACATACATATATTTTTAAATTTTGGTAAAATATACATTACAGGCCCAGTCACGGTGTGTGCGTTGCTGAGAAGCTTGTGCATCAGAGGCTCGGACATGGGAGGCCCAGGTTCAGTTCCTGATCCAACCTAAAGGCAGGGTGCAGTGGCTGGCTGTGTAATCCCAGCAGCTCAGGAGCCTGAGGCAGGGGGATCACGACTTGAGGCTGGCCTGGACAGCACAGTGAGACCCTATGAAAGAGCTGCACGTGATGGTATACGCATGTAGTTCTGTCTGGGGGACTGAGGCGGGAGCATAGGGTCTCACAGTAAAGCCCTGTCCTTAAAAATAATTGTATCGGATCCAGCAGAGGATGTGGTGGTTAAGCCACTGGACTCCCACGTGGTCGACTGTGGTTTGAGTCCCAGACCTCATGGCTTAAAATTCCCTCTGGGGCCGGGAATATGTGCTTGCATGCCCAAAATCCTGTGAGAAGGGATTGCATTGTGGCCATACCCCCAGGGCCTGTGATTTCTCACTTTCTCTTTCTCGCTCACTCTTTCTCCCTGGTGAGCACACATGCTATATGGAAAAGAGCTGGGAAAAAAAATGATATTATACACATAAGTTACCATTTTAACATTTTTAACTATACAATTAAGTGGCATTAAGAATATTCAGGCAAGAAATCACCCCCCGGGGGGATGGCCACGCCACAATCCCTTCTCCTCCGTTCTCCTCTCGGGATCTTGGCATGCACACACACACACACTTGGTGTGAGTTTAAGCCAACGGCCCGGAACTTGGACTGTGGTTGACTACATATTTTTCTTTTTAAATTTAGTGTTATGAGAATAGTTTTTATAGACAGACAATACATGAAAGACTGAGGGAGAACTAATTTTCCCAACATCATTATAGTGATTTACAGGTAGTATATCCAGTTCAGGAGCTAGTTTTTTGACCCAGTGAGGATAAACTTTCCAGCAGTAATCTCATGTCTGCCATGTACTTTCAAATTCAGTATTGACAGTGTCAGAATGTATGTCCCACCCTGGTGGCATAGTCAGTAAGAAATTGAGCAGCAGTGCTGGTAGGTCTGAAAACATGCTTAGGCCCACGTTCACTTGCTCGAGGTCCTTACAGTCTGGAGTGCTGGGGAAAGGGGGTTGTGGCCTGATGAGACCTGTCAAGGGTGCTTCTCTCACCTTCTTTCTTGTGTAGCATGTGTGCTGAATAAAGTAAATAATGGACAACAGAAGAATTTTGGAGGATTCACTAATTGCAAGACATTGTGGTTAGTTCCTGTGGGTTACACACAGCCCTTCCTCCCCCCCAAATTACAGCCTCATGAAATGGATATGTAAATAAAAACTTCTTTCTAAAAAAAGATTTATTTAATTACATTTATTATTATTATCATTTAATTTGCTGTGGAGCATATGCACTGACCAGAGAGAAAGAGAGAGGGAAAATGAGAAAGCAAACTGCCAGATCTGAGATTCGAACTGCAGTCAGCCATGTGGAAGTCCAGAACCTTAAGCACCATGCCACCTGCTGGCCCCAATAAGAACTTCTAATGCAAGCAGAATGGAGTGTTGTAAAAGGTACAGTGACAGTGGCAAAGATGTATGGAAAATAAGAGAACTGTTTGTAACCTGTGAGTCAGAGTTTGTGGAAGACTTGAACTTAGAAGACTGGAAGGTCGAATGGGAGTTTGATAGTGAAGAGCAGGGACTAGGCCTTCCAGGGTGAGATTAACGGGCACAGAGTGCCTGGCAGGTTATTTACCGCAGTAGGAGGGAAGCCAGGGACACCGAGCACCAAGGATGGAAGGTGAGCGCGAAGCTGTGCTTTCTGTACTCAGGGTCAGAGACTCACTCAAATTCTGTATTTAAGGATTAGGACTCTTTAGTAATTTTTGTGGAGGGGACTCATTTGTTTGGGTTTATGCTTAAGAAAACCCAAGTGGCAGCGTGAAAGGGAATGGAGGAGATTCGGATGCAAGATGCTGCGCAGACTGTCCGATAGCACAGATGAGCCTGAAGTGCCCCCCGAGAGTAAAAGTAATGGGCATGTGTCGGTGTGGAAGTGGGACCAACCAAAGTTAGCAATGTGTTTGAACATGTAGGTTGAAAGAGAAGGAAACATCGAAGATGATGAGTACAAACTGGTTGACTTAAAGACAGTGGTTCCAGAGGCCAGCAGGTGGCATAGTGATTAAGGTGTTGGACTCCCACATGGCTGACTGGAGTTCAAGTGCCAGACCCAGCAACTTGAAATTCATGCTGAGCGTGTGTGCCTGCATACCCAAAGTACTGAAAGGAGAATGGAGGAGAAGGGATTGCAACATGGCCTACTCCCCGGGGACTAATTCTCATGTTCTGTCTGTCTCTGTCTCTGGTGAGCACAGGCGCCCTATGGCAAAACCTCTTAAAAATAACAATAATAATAATAGTTCCATTTATTTAATTTGGAAATGTGAGGGGAGAAGCAGATTTGAAGTAGGAAAAATAAGTATCCTATAGTCATTGCAAATGCCAGCCTGCGTGTTATGAATGAAACAAGGGCTGGAGGTGTGTGTATTGAAAAAGTTGTTCTCAAAGACACAGGAGTTGAAACTGTAAGAATGGCAGAAATCATTGAAAAATGAAGAGAGAAAGGGTCTTCAGATAATACCTTTGGGAAATACATATTCTACATTGAAGGAACAGGGCTGGCAGAGCAAGAAAGCTGAAGGATGATCTTTCTACTACCCACCTACAGACAACCAACTGGATGATTTTCCATATCTAAATTACATTGAAATGCTAAGTACGGCTTACGGCTAGTTATATAATAGAAAATTAAGGCTAAGCAAAGGGGAATAAAGGTTAATTGTTCACAGACACTCTGAGGCGATCCACAATATATCCTTAAGTGATGTTTATACTTTCTATGACTCTAGGTAACGAGGCTCTCTCATTGAAGGATGTCGAAGATACCATGGTAGAGACCATTGCTCTTTGCCAGAGGAATTCACATCATTTGAACCAGCAGCAACGAGAGGTAGGAGAATGACTATTTAGGCATTTAAAAGCCTGTTCTTGTCTAAAACCAGGAATTTATTCTATTTTCACTGCCACCAGCCACCTGAGTTTAATTACACTGGGCTTTAATCACTGTTCGCCGTCCCCAGGAGGATACAAGCCCTGGAGTTAATGTGAGGGTGCACAGCCTCTCCGTCCTCACAAAAGCATTCCACTGTCAGACCTGGCTGTGCCGCAGCGTTGAAGGTGTGTGACTCCTCGCCGTCCTTGCCCTGTGTGGACTGAGAGCTGTGCATTCCACGTGGTGGTACCATGGCTATGTCATCGTTTATCACCTCTTATATTCCCTGCGGTAAAAGTGGGCATGAAGAACTGGAGGAGAGCTCTCACGGGAGGGAAGGAAAGCTGAAGAAAGGTCACAGAAGCTGTGTTACCACAGTTCTCAACCTCGCCTGCACATCAGTCACCCAGGGAGCTTCGGAACATTCCGCTGCTCAGGCTGCACCCTAGATCAATTAAATTTAAGTCTCTGGGGCTAAGACCCAGTCGTCAGCGTGTTCCAAGGCTCCCTGCATGATTCCATGTCCAGCCGAGGTTGGAACGCCTGCTGTACCAGATCTCGTGCTGCAGAGGAGGGGGACAAGGCTGAAGGAGGTATAGCTGATCACTTCGTGCAGGTGGGAGTTACAGCGGTGAAGCAGAAACGAGGGGTGGGTGGGTTTGACAGCTGAATTCTGCAGTAGATTTAAGAAGTAAAGCTGTGTATGGTGCAGCTTAAGCCCCCTGTGCCTGTCTCTCCAGGCCTCAGCCCTCTGACTAGACACTGCTCAGCCTCTTTCCACTGCCCAGGTTTTTGAGATAGGAGACAGGGTTAATGTTCATATATCCTTAGCCACGTATGCTACATTGAAAATAACAAATCTTGCTATGTTTTCTGTTCTTATGAAATAGGTAAATTTCTCCTTTAGGTTTTTGTCAAAAAATTTTTTCAAGCCACAAATTATGAAAACTCTATAAATTGTGTATACCATATATTGATGTGTAAATGTGATTTTTTTCTTTGTTATCGGAAACCTTTTTATGAAATGATATATATTTAAATTTTTTAAAAATGCAGTACAGAAAGATTTTTTTAAAAAAATTATAATATGTTCATCTTATCATCCAGAAATAACCATCATTATCATTTGGTGAACATCACTCTGGATATTTTTTGTCTGCCTAGGTTGATATAATTTTAGAAAAACTGGATCAAATAATGCTAGCTTTTAAAATGTAGAATTCAGTCTCTTATAGGAAGCTTATGTAAAACTGAGGTATTTCTAAATTTCAGATGAGTGTTTTTCACCATATTATCTCTTAATAAATCTCTCTAAACCTACAAAAAATAAAACCCTGCGTATATAACAGTTTGGAGTTACTAGGTTTGTATGTTCGTAGTTACATTTTGTTTCATGCTGTGACACTGGGCCAGTTAGGGAAGTCTCGTGAACTCACGCGCTCCCCCCTCCTCACCGCTCCTGATTTCGGGTAGTCGTTACTCGGCCTGACAAACGTTAGTAGCACTCACATTCTTCTCTGTGTCTGTTAATCCCATAGTTATGTAGTCTTTATTTAAATGGGCTGTGGACTTACTACCAGTTCTTTTGCCATGATTTTTCCATTCCTAAGTTTTTATTTTATTTATCTTTTGACTAGTTGGCTGTATTTGGACACAGTTTTATTTTGGTAGGGAAACACTGAAGTGTAGAAATCTTTTTTTTAATAGAGGTTTTTGCTATAGGGTATATGTACTCACTGGAAAGACAGAGACAGAAAGCAAGAAATCACCCCCCCAGGGGGGATGGCCACGCTGCAGTCCCCCCTCCTCGACTCTCCTCTTGGGACCCTGGACACACATGCACACGCATCTGGCATGAGTCCTAACTGCTGGGTCTGGGATTCAAACCATAGTCGACCACATGGGAGTTCAACAATATAACCATTACTTCATCTGCTGGTCCCTGAAGTGTAGAATTCTTAAAAATACGTTTTTACATATGTAACAGTCAGGTCTTATTTCTCAGTCTTTCCATCTCCTCTCTAATATCTTTTTTTATAAGATTTATTTTATTTAATTTTATTTATTCATTCATTTATTTTAATTTGACCAGAGAGAGAGAGAGAGAGAGAGAGAAAGCAAGTCACCAGGTCCAGGACTTGAACTGTGGTCAGTCATTTGGGAGTGTCCAGCACTGTAACTACCACACCACCTGCTAGTCTTTCTTTCTCTCATGGAAAATTTAAGGAAAAATAACAATTACTGATGTGTATTATGAATATAGCAGTTTAGGTTCACATAAACTGAAATACATCCAGATTCAGATATTTATAGTAAAATTACATAGAAAATTAATACCTCCAGGACTCTAGGGATTATTCTGACTATATTTGAACTCTGTAGCTCTTAATCAGAGTTACTTCGATATGGCAAAAGAAAACTTTATTTTTTTTTGGTCAAAAACCGCATGCGTCTAAGTTGGAATTTGTTTTAAGGAAGACATTACATGTTAGATCTCTGCCCTTGAAATTTTCAGTTCTCTAAGATTAATACACCCTTTATTGGCTGCAAGTAAGCAAAGTCTCCCTGTAAGAGAAGCCTGTCTCCCCCTCTCTATATGCATACGCACACACACCACTCACTACTTCCCTGCTCCCCAAAAACTGGTTTCTGCCTCATTCTGAACAGGTCTCATAATAACAGCTGGTTTGTTTTTAATTTGCCCAAGGGCCCATGTCCTGGCCAGAGAGGCAGAAGGAGGGAGAAAGCACCCCAGCAGGGGTAGTGATACCGCAATCCCTTCTCCTCCTTTCTTCATCCCGTCAGGATTTCGGATGTGCACACTCGTGTGCTAGTATGTTTTTCAAACCATGGGTACAGGACTTGACCCGTGCAGTCAGTCACATGGGGTTGGGTCCGTCAACCCTCAGGACACAGGGCCAACCCCACAGCAAACATATTTGAACGTTTGCTTTATATAAATGGCATTTTCTGTAAATGCTAGACTGATTTTATATAATACTTGGCATTAAGCTTGGGGGATTTTAATCATTGTTTTCTTTGTTTCTCTTTATTTGATTCTTTTAGTGTTGTGTTTTGTTTTCAAGAAAATGAGAACAAGACCTGTTACCACAGATCCTAGAGTGACAGGAATATTTGAAGGGTCCAAAAGCTTGATGATGAGTTACCTTGTCTATCTACCCCAGGAGCCCAGGGCCCAGCCTTTGTAGTGCAGTGTCCCGACCCGGGGGGACAGCCGAACGGGTTTCTTGAGTGAAGGAGTGAGAGCCGGGGCAAGCAGCGTAGTGTTACAGCACGGAGACGACAGCGTTGTCTGTTTATTGTGGGCAGCACGGTACAGCACAGAGACGACGCAGTGTCACAACTCTTAAGGGTCGCGTCGTCTACTGTGAGCAGCACGGAGACGACGCGGTATCACAGCTCTTCAGGGTCGTCCGGAGACGATGTAGTGTTACAGCTCTTCAGGGTCTCCCAGGTCGTCTGGAGACGATGCAGTGTCAGCTCTTCAGGATCTTCAGGGTCGTCTGGAGACTGCGCGGTGTTTCAGCTCTTCAGGCTCTTCAGTTGTCGTCTTCCTGGTCGTCGTCGTCGTCTTGGTCGTTCTCGGTCGTTCTCGGTTGTCTGTGTCATCTGGCTACTGTGGGCCAGGCATCGTGGTTATATACACTCTGGTGGGTTGTAAAC